GAGATGGTTCTATGGTTAAGGGCATTTAAGAGGCCCCAAATTCAGTTCCTAGCATCTAGTGGTGACTTACATCCATCCTAACATCAGTTCCCAGGGAATGAACTCCACACCCTCTTTTGACTTCCGTGTATACCCAGCACCCTATCGGTACACATGCATGCATGAAGGCAAGATGCTCATTAACATAAAATAATACTGTGTAATTTTTTTTTCTGAGGAAGGGTTTCTCTGTGGCTTTGGAGCCTGACCTGGAACTATAGACAAGGTTGGCCTCAAACTCACAGAGATCCACCTGGCTCTGTGCTGGAATGAAAGGTATGTGGGTCCCCACCAACGCTACCACCACCCAGCTTTGTTTAAAATTTTAAAAGGGCCTGTGAAATGGCTCAGTAGGCAAATGCACCTGCTATCAAGACTGACAATCTGAGTCTGAGCCCAGGGCCCCATGGTGAAGGAAGGGAACTGAGTTCTACAAGTTGTCCTTTGAACACACACACACACACACAGAGAGAGAGAGAGAGAGAGAGAGAGAGAGAGAGAGAGAGAGAGAGAGAGAACAATTTTTTTTTCATTTTAAAAAGACAAACAGGTTAACCACAACAAAAGGCAAACAAGGAAAGAAAAATTAATGGACAACAAGGTTAATTAACTAGAATATAAGTGACTAAAACGAATCTAACTAATGTGACCAGGAAAAAAGGCCTCTCTGAGAAAGTAAGGCAGACCTGAGATGTTGACAGCTGGAAATAGAAAAACAAGTATTGTATGGTGGTGGTACACGCCTTTAATCCCAGCCCCCAGAGATCTCTGAGTTCAAGGCCAACCTGTTCTACAGAGTATCCGAGAACAGCCAAGGCTACCCAGAGAAACCTTGTCTCAAGCAACCAGAAACTAAAGAAGGAAGGAAGGAAGGAGGGCGGGAGGGTGGGAGGGAGGAAGGAAGGAAGGAAAGCAGGAGGGAGGGAGGGAGGGAGGGAGGGAGGGAGGAAGGAAGGAAGGAAGAAATCCGGAGGCACATTCCAGAATCAATAAGAAAGCCAATGGTAGTTGAAACATAGTAAAATGGCAAAGGGGTAGATGAAGTGGCAGGTAAGCAGAGGCCATGGGACACTGGGAAGGTCTCTGGATGTTCCTAACTCACCTTGTCTCTATGGTCTTACAGTCCCATCAACACAGGTGTTCTCAGCCTCCACTGAGCTTTCAGGCATCTGATTGCACCTGACAGTAGCAATGGTAAACAGACTGCTTGGGTGAACTTGCACCACTCAGTTGGTATAGCTATTAGTGGTCTAGAAAGAACATTTTAGGCAGCACCGGTGTTGGCTTTTGGTTAAAAAGACACAACCTATTGAGTCTTTATGGACTGACTAGATCTTCCCAACTCTTCAGTAATTATCAAGGTCCTGCAAAGGACACTACAAATCATTCTTGTGATTCATATCCAGATTTCATTCTTATAAAGTCTAATTAATTGCTTTTCCATTCCATTGAAAATATTCACCTCCTAAACATAAAACCTACAGGTGCAAAATATTCTCCATGTTCTTATATTGCTTGAGTCTTTTGAAGTAAGATTTCTTTCTTTTACCTGACATGCTACATTCAAGCTTTTCAAACAAAGCTGGGCGTGGTGGGACACATCTGTTAACCTGGCCTACGATGGTAAGAATCAGTTCTACAATAACACAGAAACCAAAGAGACCAAGATGTTTTTAAAACTCTCCTGATACAACAGGTCACTTTTTGATTAGAAGAATCTGTACCCTGGTCAAAATTACAAAGTTTAAAATCCCTACCTATCTTCTTGGTGTACCACCGTCTCCCTTCAGGCACAATGTGCCTGCCAAACAGACTTCCGGCTAGCCTCCGGGTCTTAGGTCCCCGTTCCCGTTCCCCCTTACACACACCTCGATTTTATGATTTACATTCCCCACTAGGAGAAATCCAACCAGTTCTTCAGGGTGAAAGGCAAATACTCTTCATTCTTGCCCTTCCCCGCGCAGAACATACACCTCATCTCCCTGCTCCAGGAGCAATTCCACACTCAAGAACTAACTGCATGACCATTCCCACCCGGCCAAGAGCTAGACACAGGACATCTGTATCTCAGGCAGGAGCTGTCACCCTGCCCTCCCCTGAACTCACCCCAAATACGTAGCTTGCCTACCTGCAGTCTTTTGCTGTTCAGTTACTATGACACCAATTTTAGTGCCAGTCAAGTCCTTGCAGAAATTAAACAAAGCAGGGGTAGGGTGCCTTTTCTTCCAAACCTGAAATGAAGTCTTTAGTACCTGCTTCTTGATGACACAACACATGAAAGTTTTAGGTGACAATCTTCTACTCCCATTACCTATTCAAGAGCTATCTAAACTTTGTGAAACGTGCTATTAGGGAGAATCTAGGGGGCCGATGAGAGACTTGGAGCACTTACTGCTCCTGCAGAGATGGGGGTCTGATTCCCCAGCACACAAACACGGTGGCTCAAAAGCATCCATAGCTCCAGTTCTATAGGATCTGACACACTGTCCTCCTCCCTGGGCACCAGGCACACACGTGGTGCACCTGCAGGCAAAACATGCACAAACAATTCTTAACTAATAACTTTTTTTTTTTTTTAAATCTAGTCAGGCCTGGTGCCACATGCCTGTAATCTGAGCTGTGAAGAGGCAAGATGATCAAGAGTTCCAGGTTATTCTCATCATCACAGACATTTTGAGGCTACCTTGAGCTTCACGAGATGTCTCAACCTGCCCTCCTTAAGATAGGCCTTGAGGCATATGCCTGCAACCCCACTGCTTCAAAGGCAAAGGTGGGATCGCAAATCCCAGGAGTCTGGGCCATCTTGAGCCACACGGCAACAAGGCTTAATAATAATGATGAAGACAATAGGGCTCTGAAGGTATAATGCACCCAAGGTCAAAGACCTCCACAAGGTACCACAGCTATCCGTAGGAGCCAAATGTGACTATCCAGCACTATCCACAAATCTAAAGCGCCCGAACATCAGGAACCTCAAAACGGGGATGGGGGAGGGGCTGACATGGTTATCACTCAGATATTTAACTTAAGAGTTTTAATACTTGCTAACGATGTTTTCTACTTTTTACTTTTACGAGGAAGGGCTAATTAATCCTTAGTCACACGGATCACATTAACAGTTATTTCCAAACTCAGTTCTGCCCGTTAAGGCTAGAGAATACTTTGGGAAGACACAAACAACCACAACTCCTGCTTGGTAATGGCTGTGACTGGAAACGCATCCGCGGGAGTCAGTTTTTCCTTATTTGTGCCCAAACGTCCAACAGACTAAACACTACAGCTGCCCTAATTTTCTAACTCCAACTTGCATTTAAGATAACGCTTTTGTTTCGTTTACAGCGCTCAGGCTGCTGACACAGCTGGGCCCCTTCTTTGTAATAAACACAGGGCTTCTATATTTAAAAGTACAGTGCAACTTTGTTTTACCATTCCCCTCCCCAGTCTCCGGGCTAATTTTCTGTCTTCCAGAACTCCACCTCCACCCCACGATTTTTTTTTTTTTTTTTTTTTTTTTTTTTTTTTTTAAATCAGTGACGCTTCCAAGAGCCTCCCGGAAAGTGGAATCTGTTCTTTAAAGACATCTCATCACAGTGGCATTTCTCTTCTCCGCAGCTCGTTGTACAGGGAGAAAGGAGACTTTCTGCAAAGGCCTGGTCTTGAGACCCGGGTGCTTATGGGGGAGGCAGTGACCCGGGCTCGGGTGCAACGCAGCAGGGGTCCCAAGGTCGGGCCAGCGATAAGGACCGGCGGGGGCCGGCGATAGGGAGCGGCGGGGGCCGGCGAGCCGAGGGGGGTCTCGAGTCGCTGTTGACAGTGAGTGGAGCACGGCGGGCACGCCCCGGTCGGCCGATTCGGAAGGGGGCGGCCGAGCAGGGTGTGGGCCGAGGGGGCACGGGGGGGGAGAGATAAGGCGAGGCCCGAGTTAATCATCACCTCCCGAGCGCCTGGAAAAGTACGGGCTGCGGGCGGGGAGCAGCCCCGGGGAAAGCGAAACTCTTCCCGCACCGGCCTGCCCGAGCGCGGGGGAAACCCGAGCGCGCACGCCGCGCGAGCCAGCCGCCCGCCCCACGATCACGACAGACAGCGATCCTGCACAAAACCACCCGGCCCGGACACAGAAGTTAAGCCAGAGCCCCGAGAAAAGAACACCAGTGCCCCCAAACTCAAGCAAGGCAAAAAAGCTGACACCGTTCCCATACCGGGAGTCGAACCCGGGCCGCCTGGGTGAAAACCAGGAATCCTAACCGCTAGACCATATGGGAAGTGCTGCAAGAAGCAGCGCCGTTACCCACCTGACTAGCGTCAGCCGAGCTGGGCTTCAGCCGCCGCGCCGAGTCAGAGCCGAAGCCGCCCCGCGGCCGCTGTCCCACGCGCGCGGGAACGAGCCCGGCGGAGCGCGCGCGCGCGGGCGTGGCGGAGGGCGGCGGGGGGGAGGAGCGGGCCGCCCGGCCACTGGAAAGTTTTGAGGCGAAGCCCCGAGAGCCCCGGTGCGCTTCGGGAACCGGCGGCCGCGCCTTTCTTTCTCAGCCCTCCCTCGGGCCCGGGCTGCTGCTCCCCAGTCACAGAGCGAGCGGGCTAGCCGGCAAAGCCGAGGGCGGCGCCGTCCGTGGGAACAGCTGCGCCCGGCTCGGGGGAGGGGGGCGGAGGCCGAGCGTCCGGGCTGCGAGCCAGCTCGAGAGTGGAGGTTCTGGATCCCGGGAGGAGCGAGGACCGCGGGATGGAGCCCGACCGGGACACTCGAGGCCCGGAGCTCCGGTCCCGCCGCGCTTTGGTCCCTTCTCGGTGACCTCAACCCCTTTATACCGACCCCACCTCTCCGGCGCCGCGAGTACCGCCCCGTGGGGGAGGGGAAGAGGCGGCGACACCGCGCGCGCGGATTGGGCCCTCGAGGCTGCCGTAGTCCGTGCGGCCGCGGAACGCCGGGTCGGGGGACGCGGAGGTCCGGAGGTGCCGGCTCTCCGGGAGCCGGCGGCGGAGCAACCAGCGAGCGGGACCGCGGGCTACGCGCGGAGCCGGCGCTGTCATGTGAGTCGGGTGGGCCCTGAGCCGCGTGCGGCCTCCTCCTCCCGCCCCGCGGCCGCTCGACCTGCGGGGCTGGGAGCCGGGGACTCGGGTGCCGCCCCTGCCTGGCGGGCCCCGGGGCGCGAGTGCCGCGGTCGCCGCAGACGTCCCCAGAAAAAGCGAATTCGCCAGGCTGCGGACGGGAAAGGGGAATACTCTGCTTTGAGGGTCTCGTTTCCCTCCTCTCCCTGTCAGTGGCGAGGAGAAGTGGGTTTACAGGGGATTAGGCTTCACGAATGATGGTGGAGATGCCTTGCTAAGACAAAAAAACCCGTCAGCAACCTAGTGTCCCAGATTTTAAAAAGCAGAACAGTTCTCTTTCAGTTTGGGGGGTAGACTTAATAGTTGTTTTGCCTTCTTCAGGGCCGACTACTGGAAGTCCCAACCAAAGAAATTCTGTGATTACTGCAAGTGCTGGATAGCAGACAACAGGCCTGTATGAGATCTCTCGTAAAATAACCCGTGTGACATGTTGCTTTTTGATCCAAGTAGAGTTTGCAAACCACTTTCATGTACAGAGCTCTTGACTTTTCTTTTTTTTTTTTATTATATTATATTTTATTTTATATAACAAAATCCAATTAAATGAAAACAAACATTTATACACAATATTTGGGAATTTGGGCGTCGTTCTTTCCAAACTACCTGCTGGTAAGGGGCGCTGTCATGGAGGATTCGAAGAAGATTCAGAAATCCTGGCTGTAGTCTGTAAGGCTGCATTGTCCAGCTGTTTTGAATGTAGGATCACCTTGTACTCTGTTTCAGTCGGTCTGGCGTGATCAAACCACATTAGTCTGGAAGGAATCCACATCTTGTCATTTTCTGTGGAAACAAAAATAGAAATACTTTTCCCCAGTAACTTGTCCTTCAACTTAAATTTTGGAGTCAAAGCATTTTTTTAAAATTTAATTTATTATTTTACATGTCGATCCCAGTTCCCTCTCCCTTCCTCCCTCCTTCCCTCCCTCCATCCCTCCCTCCTTCCCTCCTTCCCTCCCTTCTACCCTCTCTGCCCTCTCACATGCACTCCAACCACCCTCCCCTCCCATCCCCCACCCCAATTCCATATGTAGGGGAATGCCATCCAGTTGGGGTCATGTAGATCTGACAGGTCATGTGAAGTAGGGACTAGGGCTTCTCTCCTGTCTGTAGATTAAGGCAGCTATCCCTCCATGGAGGATGTGTTAGCAAGGTCCTTTTGTGCACCAGGGATACATCCTGGCTCCACTGTCTGAGGTCCCTTAGACTGCTCAGTCCTTCTGGGTGAGATCCATATTCAGGGTTGCCTGAGTCAGTCCCATGCTGGCTTCCCAGCTATCAGTCTAGTGGCCGTTAGCTCCTCCTTGTTCAGGTAAGCTGTCTGTATGTGCTTCTGCCACGTGGTCTTGTCCTCTCCATCTGCATCTGGGTTCTAGTTCGACTCAGTGTTTATGTATGGGTGTTTGATCCTGTTTTCAACAGGCATTAGTTGAGGGCTCCATGGAGAAGTTAGTTGTTGATCTCACTCTCCGGGAAGGGCATTTATGATAGCCTTTCCACGGAAGCTCAAATTGTTAGTTGGGAGCAGTCTTGTAGTTCTCTAGACCTTTCTTCATGTTCAATTTTATCTTCAAACCCTCTTTTATGTTCTCTCTCTCTCTCTCTCTCTCTCTCTCTCTCTCTCTCTCCCCTATCTTCTATTCCTACAGGCTCAATCTTCCTGGTCGCACATGTTTTCCTTTCCTCCCCCTCATTTTCTCCTACTTCTCTCTCCATTCGCTGCCCCCCCCTTCACCTGAGCACAGAGCTCTTGACTTTTCAAACCTAGAGATACTTCTTTTGTTTGATCCTCCACCCACCCCCCACGTATGAAAGCTACAGCCCTTCTCTTCATCAAACTCTGATTTCAAGGCTTAATTATTTCTGTGGCATTTGAGGAAATGGACCGTGAGTGGATACAGGACAGGCTCCAAAGCAATACAGAGAAATCCTGTCTCCAAAAAAAACAAGATAAAACTAGAGTGTGGGGACTGGCAGAATGTCTCCACAGTACAAAGTGCCTGCAGCTTTTGCAGAGGGGCTGGGGACAAGTTCCTAGCACCATATGGCAATTCACAACCACCTATCACTGTAGTTCCTGGTTACCCAGCAGCCTCTTCTGACCTTCATTGGTAGCCGTAACTCATGTGTTGCTTATAACTTAACACAGGTGCACACATCCACAAGATAATTTCCTAAAAACTACATTATCTTTCTAGGCAGTGGCAGTACACACCTTTAATTTAATCCCAGCAATAGGGAGGCAGAGGCAGGTGGATCTCTTGAATTTCAGGCCATCGTGGTTTACAGTGTGAGTTACTGGACAGCCGGGGCTACACAGGGAAACCCTGTCTCAAAAAACAAAAGGAAACAACCAAAAGCAATGGTGTTTTATATATACATTGCCTTATTCCTTGGCAGAACTGTGACACACAAAGCATGTTGCTTTGTTTCATGCTGTATTCCTTCAGTAAACACCGTTAAATCTCCTGGAAGGTCTTTGGCTTTGAGGAGTATTCTCTTCTGTGTTGGTCTTACTGATTGCTGCTAAAGAGTGTGCACATTGTCTTAGATTAATTCTTACCAAAACTGCCATAAGGCTTTAAAACCACACAACGGAAAATAACCCATCCCTGGAGGTACCTAGGAAGTAAAATGAATTTTATGAGTTACTGAAAATAAACTCTTTCCAGAAGTTTGTCTGCTTCTCCCTAAATATCTAGTGATTTCACTACAAACAATATTGTCCCAAATGGCTCTTTCACATAGTAGTCTTTCTATGGTAGATCACCTGTGGGTAACCCAGAATAAGAACAATAGATACTTGTTTGCTTTACAAACTCCAATTTTAATGAGGAATTCACAGGATTATATTAGAATAGCTTGGTTAATGTGTCTTACAGGATTTGAATGGCAGCATTCATTTTAAAAGAGTTCTTATTTCTTAGCAGCAGACATCTATAATTTATTGAGAACTCCTGACTGTTTAAGTAGGCCCCAGTGCTCACCCAGCCATCCATGTCCCCAGCCTTCTAATTAACTTCAAAAGTTAACGACCCCTTCCTCCATGTCTGTACTTCATTGCTTTCGTGTGCGTGTATTTTATTCCAGCATGTTTGCAGGTAGCACAGATTTGTTTTGTTTATTCTCAAACGTGTATCCTGAAGATGTCTCCATGTCAATCATAGGGCCTGTGAGCACCTCTCCTGTGATAAAAGCCTATGGAATATATGCAATTCACTCAGCCAGTCCCCAATACATAGATTGTTGCTATAAAAATTACTGCAATAAATAACCTTGTTTATTACATCATTTTGCACAATGTGAGGAATTTCTAAAAATTTGTGTGTATGTGTGTATATGTGTTGGTTTTCATGTTCCTCAATGAGCAAGTCAAAGGACAGCATTCATGCTGGTGCTGGGGGCTGAGGCGGGTTGTCCGGCTTGGTAGCAAGCACTTTTATCCATTAGGCCATCTTACTTGCCCAAATGAGAAATTTTTTTTTTGTAAATATCTATTTTTCTGAATATTTTAAAGACCAAGTCTTTAAGAATATCCTTCATGTCTCTAATACAGCAAACCAGAAAATGAGATTTTGGAGACTTCACCAGTTTTGACATTTGATGTTGAAAAGTAGTGGGTTTTATTGTTACTGTTGTTGGGTTTTTGTTTATGTGGTGGGTTTTTTTTTTTTTTTTTTTTTTGGTTTGAGACATTTTTGTTGTTGTTACCACTGTCTTTTTGTTTTGAGACAGGGTATTACTTGAAATTAGCTTAAGCTGGCCTGGGACTTGAACTCGGGTTTCACTTGCCTCTGCCTTCAAAGTGTTCGGGTTGCAGATACATGTCACTGCTCAGCTGAGACATGCTTTTCCTTGAAAGTTGTCCCCCACAGCAGCATTCACTGGTTATCAGGAGAGCACTTGATGCTTCCCCCTGTTAGTGTGGTCATCTGGCTCATTTTAATACCAGAGAACATCTATTGGAGAATCCGGTAATCTGCTTAGAACTCTAGCAACATTTTATACAGGGGTCAACTTGCATTAAAACTAAAGGTTTTTCTATTTTCTGCCATTTTAATCTTATATTTCAGCCCCATATTTAAAGTATTAGTTTGCTGTGAACTTAATGACTCTTTCCCTTTTTCCTTTCCAAGAGTGTGGAATTTCATGAAAGAGGAAAGAATCACAAGGAAAATGTGGCCCGAAGGATCAGTGAGGTAATTTCACTTGGCTCTTCGTTCATTTTTCTGTGCACGTGTTGATCCCATCTCTCATGTTCACTTGCACATATGTCCTACAGATTAAACAGAAAAGCTTGGATAAGGCAAAGGAAGAAGAAAAGGCATCCAAAGAGTTTGCTGCGATGGAGGCAGCTGCACTGAAGGCGTACCAAGAGGATCTGAAACGCCTCGGCCTAGAGTCGGGTAAGACATCAGCAAGACGCAGGTCGTGCGTGCTGAGGGCCTTTTAATCATTCCCATATAGGAGTTGTGTACTTGAAATAGTGTAGTGGTTTTGTGCTGTTACTCTTGGTGGTTGTTGTTTTGTTCTTGAGGTACAATCTCCCAATATATCCTGGACTCGTCTTGAACTTGTGTCGTCTCCTGCCAGGCCTTCTGAAATTAAAAAGCAGGAGCCACCATACCTGTCTTGTTTTGCTTTTTATATCATTTATTTGTCTGTTTGTGGGTGGGTGTGTGGAGTTCAGTTCTCTCCTTCCACCGTGTGGCTCAAACTCAGGTCAGGGAGCTCAGTGACAAGTACCTTAATGCATAGTACCCTCTTGCTGGCCCTATGTATTGTCTTGAATCTTCTAGTGCTTTATCTTTTGATACCCTTTTTTCATATCAACTTATTACTCTTGCAGTTACCTACTCCTAGCTCTAGCCTAGATGAATGATTCATTTCCAAACCTTGAGGTTTCCTTTTTAGATACCCATTGTTATAGGCAGTGCTCAATTTAAAAACAAACAAAAAAACTTGCATTATAATTATATATTTTCTACATGGCCAAACTGAGTTGTATCTATTTATGATTGGCTACACAATGAAGGACTTGCCTTTTTTAAGCAAATAATGGACTTTACCTCAAGCAGGCAAATTATTTTGAGGTTCTGACTAAGGGGTGTTATTGAATGTTTCTATCTGCTTGAATTTAGGCTCTAAAGTAGGAAGCTTTTGTGTGCTTTCACCCATGACAAATTGTATTAGTTACTTTTGTGGTGACAGAATACGGAACAGGAATGCTAACAGGATACAGTGTAAGCTATGGTCAGTTTCATCCACGAGGCTGGGAGGGGTACAATAGTGCTTGAGATGAAAGCTTACTACCATGATACAGAAGCAGAGAGAGCCCCAAGACAGAAACAAACTCAAAGGGTGGCCCCCACTGATACACCTCCACCAACCAGGCCCCACCTCCTAAAGCTCCACAGTAAGCTGGGAGCCAAACTCCTAAAGCAGGTATAAATTGTTGGTCTCCTGTAGTGATTCAGGTGGTCAAATAATTGGTTTTGTTTTGTTTTTTTGGTTTTGTGAGCCGCTGACTTTATTGGGCTTAACTAAACAGTGAATGAGGAGTTATTTATAGGCCCATGGATGGCACCAAACAGCTGCATCATGACAAAAGCATAACCCATCATAGGTTGCTACCTTGGGGACTGTCCATGATGGAGCCTGTTTTCAGTTAATCTTTAACTTCTTTTTAACTTCAGCATCTCCCAAAGCCACCCATTGGGAGGGAAACTGGAACATGATGGAATAATAGCTAGAATCCTAGGCGAGAAGGAACTGGTCCTGTGAGTGTCCTCCTGGGAAATGACCGTCGCTGTATCAGTTGCTTGGTAATTTCATTGCCATGATTGGATCAGGGTATTCCCTACTCCAAGATAGTGGTGGTGTGATCATGTTATACCAGAGTGGGGAAAAAGTCACACTACAACAACATCTCCATCTCCTAGATCTTGCAGTCTTTTTGTCTGTTTGTTTGTTTTGAGACAGAGTTTCTCTGTGTAGTTTTGGAGCCTGTACTGGAACTCACTCTGTAGGTCATACTAGCCTTGAACTGACAGAGCTCTGCCTGCCTCTGCCTCTGCCTCTGCTGGGGTTAAAGGTATTCAACACCACCAATTCAACACTACCACCCAGCTGGTTCTTGCAATCTTTCCACCTCTTTTTCCTAATGGAGGTTTCCTGAGCCTTGGAAGAGACGTAGAGGATCCCTTTCTGAGCATTGGATCATCACACTATATCATCAGTTATTCTCAGTAATTTAACCATTTATGACTCTCTCCATTAATAACCATGTCCACTGTGAAACTTGTCTTCTGCAAGCAAGGAGGACTGGAGCAGTCTGAGTGTTGACTACCTGAGTAGCACCTTGTGATACAACTCAAGCCAGTGGGAAGGGCTTCCCACTCAGTCCCAGCCAAGCCTCTAATAAAAAGGACTCTTAATTATGGGTTTAAGCAGAATATTGCTTTCATGAAATAAGAACAGTTGTTAGCTTAATAAAGTCTAAATGGTAGTACTTAAGGAAAAGAAGAGATGTGTGGTTCCAAAAGGCCATTTGTTTATTAATGAATGAGAGTCTCACTGGTTAATTCAAACTGGCCTCAAACTCAGTATGTGATATCACCAGTTCAGGGATTACAGGCATGCATCATTACCCCCAACTGAACATAAAGCATTTTGAGAGGAAAATTAGATAGGTATCTTCTGGACAGTTGGAGAATTGTTAGTTGTAAACTCATCTCGTTAATTTTATGTCTCTATAGATTAAAAGATTCCATTTCAGTGTCATTTTTAAGGTTAATTTTTTTGGGGGTTTTGGTTTTTGTTTTTTTTTTTTTTTTTTTTTATAACAGGGTTTTTTTTCTGTGTAGTCCTGGCTATCCTGGAGCTCACTCTATAGACCAGGATGGCCTCAAACTCACAGAGATCACCTGCCTCTCTGCCTCCTAAGTGTTGGGATTAAAGTTATGTACCACCATACTCAGCATAGATTAGTTTTGAATATACATACAGATATCTCACTGTCCATGGTAGGGCTATTGGTTTGTCTGTTTTGATATAGAGTCTCACTATGTAGCTCTAGCTAGCCTGGAGTTCACTATGTAGTGACCAGCAGGCAGTGGTCTTAAGTCAAGGTATTCAGGCAGGCTGAAATTCCAGATGTGAGCCATGATGACCCTGTGGGATCCTTTTAGAGTATATGTATTATATTCTGTTAAAGATCTTTACCCCATGTGCGCCATTAATCACAGTACTCAGGAGACAGAAGCTGGTAAATATTTGATCCAAGGCCAGACTGGTCTACAGATCAAGTTCCAAGACAGCCAAGGCTACACAGAGAAACCCTGTCTTGGGGGGGGGGGGAAATGAATGTTGCTGCGTATCATGAATATATCCTTTAGTGTTTACTTTTCTCTGTAAGTTCATCTTCTGGACAAGAAATCTAGTATCAGACTTGTATAGCTGATGCCAAACTATCTCTATAAATGTTAGACTAATTTATGTTTTCCTAGAAATAAAAAAGTTGTTAACTTGTGTTGGAAGTATTAACAGTCTTTTTTGTTTTGTTTTGTTTTCTAAGATTTATTTATTGTGTATATAGTGTTCTGTCTGCATGTATGACTGCAGGCCAGAAGAGGGCACCAGATCTCCTTATGGATGGTTGTGAGCCACCATGTGGCTGCTGGAAATTGAACTCACAACCTCTGGAAGAGCAGGCAGTGCTCTTAACCACTTTTGTGGTTTTTAGAGACAGGGTTTCCCTGTAGTTTTGGAGATTGGCCTGGAACTCATTCTGTAGAACAGGCTGGCCATGAACTCACAAAGATCCATCTGCCTCTGCTTCACAAGTGCTGGGATTAAAGGCATTCATCACCACTGCCTGGCAAGTATTAGCAGTCTCATGAGCAGAATGCCATTAAAACATTTTTTTTTTCCACGTTCATGTACATACCTTAGATGAGAGTGGAATTTCATCCTACTTTTCAGTATTAATCTATTTTTTAAAAAAAACTATATTTAGTTGCAATATTTATTCTCTGAATTGTATGTTTTTCTGTTGGGATATTTAATTTTATTTACTTATTTATTACGTGTGCAGTGTTCTGTCTGCATGTATCCCTTCAGGCTAGAAGAGGGCACCAGATCTCACAGATGGCTGTAAGCCACCATGTGGTTGCTGGGAATTGAATTCAGGACCTCTGGAAGACCAACTAGTGTTCTTAACCTAATCATTATTAGGGACATTAATTTATTTGTTAACTTTTTTCATTTTTCTAGCATATATGTTTTTGCTTTTGTTTCTTTTTATTTTTTATACAAACAAACTTAATCACATAGTCAGATTTAACAGTATTTTTTAGGTTTTTTTTTTTTTTCCTCCAGATTTTGTTGTTTTGTTTTTTGTGTTCCAAAACGGTTTCTCTGTAGCTTTGGAAGCTGTACTCGCTCAGTAGACCAGGCAGGCCTCGAACTCACAGTGATCTGCCTGCCTGGGTGCTGGGATTAAGGTCAAGCGACATCACTGCCCTGCTTGATCATGGAATTTATATTGGCATAAAGACATAAGCCAGTGGAAATAGCTTAATAGCTTTGCCTTTGTAACTTCTTGTTGGCATGTCCCAATGTTCTAACACTGATTCATGTTTGATCAACATTGGCCTTTGTTGGTATGGGCAGGATACCTATTTTTTAGACAGGGTTTCATGTACCCCTGGCTGGCCAAGAAACCTTGATAACCAAAGATGGTCTTTAAACTCCTGAGCCTCCTACCTCTACCTCTCAAGTGCTAGAAGGCATGCATCATCACTCTTCGCTTACTATAACACCTTCTGATAAAAAAGCACCAGGAATCTTCAGTTGGATCTGTATCTGGACCACTCTGTGTAAATCATGTCTTTGCTTATTTCCATATCAGTTGTCCTGCAGGACTGGCGGTGTAACCCAGGTCTGTGCATGTTAACAAGCACCTTGCTACTGCGTTACATCCCCAGATCCTATTTGTTTTAGATGAATTTTAGAATAAATTGTTTTTGTTTTCTTAGTGGTACACTGAGATTAAACCCACAGCCTAGTGCATTCTTGGTAGATATACTACCACAGGGCCACACTCCCCAGCCCCTAGGATGACTTTTAATGTGTAATAGAACTAAATAACTATTATTTTTTTCACTCCCCTTATATATTCTTCTACAATTGTATCTCAGATAACTTTATTATAACATGTTTTGTTCCCAAAAAGAATCTTGTCAAACTTCGGTTTTGCTTTTTAAAATTGTTATCTAGGTGGGCCTCAAACACATAATTTTCCTGTCTCAGCCTTCTGAAAAGCTGGGATTAAAGGCATGTGTCACTGTGCCGAGCTTTGCAAGGCTTCTGACTAATGCAACTTTTAAAAAGGTAAAGTTATCTCTCTTTATCTTTTTTTTTCTAGACATTTCAGAGCCAAGTATACCACCAGTGACAAGCATTGTCCAGCCCACCTCTACATCAAATCAACCAAAAGAGAAGAAAAAGAAAAAGGAAAAGAAGAAGAAAGACACTCCGAAGGGTAGATGGGTGGAAGGCGTAACAGCTGATGGTCACTGTTACTACTATGATCTCATCACAGGAGGTAGGCTGGTAAAGGATAGAACTACCAGGAAATAGAACAACACAGTAGTTTTTCCGTGTTGAGACCTTTATATAATATTGGCATATGTTAAGCAGTAAAAAACTGTAACTTCCTTTTTTCCACAAAGCTTAGAAAATTGTGCCTTTCGTCATGAAGCACACTCTATAATTCTATAACACTCAAAAGGATTACCACAAATTAGAGACTAGCCTAGAATACATAGTGGAACCCATGCCAGTTGGGATACAAAGTAAGAAGACCATGTCTCAAAAAGAAAAGGAAAAACACAAAAGTTGTAAGAATACCCCACTTTCTGCAAATCAGTATCTTGATTAAAATCCTAAAAGTTTCTAGCTAGGCATAATGGCATACACCTTTAATCCTAGCACTCAGAAAGCAGAGGAAGACAGACTTCTGGATTCCAGGACAGCCAGGACTGTTATAAAGAAATCCTGTCTCGAAAAACAAAGCAAAAATCTCCTAATTTCCTTTACTTTCTTGCTAAAAAATTGGAACTCTGCAGAAATACAGCACTTCACCTGAAGGACAGACTGTTCCATATGTGTATCAGTCTGTTTTTTAACTTTTAAGGGTCTTGAAATAAAATGCCAAGAGGAAAGGTTTTCCTTCTTTTTTGTTTCTTTGTTTTTGTTTTGGTTTTTTGTTTACCTGAATCAGGGTTTCTTTGTGTAGACCTGGCTGTCCTGGAACTCACTTTGTAGACCAGGCTGGCCTCAAACTCACAGAGATTCATCTGCCTCTGCCTCCCAAGTGCTGGGATTAAAGGCATGCACAACCACTTGCCTGACTGGAAAGGTTTTCTAACTAGTAGCTTAGTAAACCAAAAGCTAGTTTCTTTTATGCATAGCTCTCTTGATTGTTTTATTTTCCTCTTTGTGCTGGTGAGGAGACTCAATGGTGAGGTACCAGCTTCCAAGCCTGACAACCTGAGTTCAGTCCCCAGAACCCACATGGTAGTAGGAGAGAACTGTCTCCCACAAATTGTCCTCCAGCCTCCACCCACATACACAAAAAATAAGTGGAACTGTTAAAATTTTGAGAATTTCTCCTTCATATTAATGTTAAATACCACTTTCAGTAAAGTACATAATGGGGTTTTTCAGTAGAAAAATTAAAAACATTTTTTTTGTAGTCTTTTAAAGCTTAGTACATTTTTTCCATGTATATTCCAGGGCAAATAAATTTATTTATGTCACTCTCCAGAAATACAGAATTTGTGGCAAAAAAAGTAAATTTGACACAAAAAGGAATTTTCTGATTTTCTGTTCCCCCATCTCGACTCCCATCCCCATGCTAAATTTCAAACCTAGGTCATCATACTTAACAGGTAAGTATTCTCTTTACCACTGAGCTAAATCCCCAACCCATAAAAAAGGAATTTAAAAGTACTGTGTAGTAGAAATATAACTTAAAAATTATGGGGCACCTGGGCAGTGGTTTTGCATGCCTTTACTCCCAGCACTTAGGAGGCAGAGGCAGGTGGATCTCAGTGAGTTTGAGCCAGCCTGGTCTACAGCCAGGAGGCAAAGAGGGTGAGCAAACTGGGAGTGGTGTAGGCTTTTGAAACCTAAAGTCTCCATCCCAGCAACCCACCTCTTCCAAGAAGACCACACTTTCTAATCCTTCCCAAACAGTTTCACCAACTGGGGACCAAATGCTCAAAATGATGAGCCTCTGGGGGCCGGGTTCATTTAAACCACAATAGCATGGCATCTCACAGAATAATTAAAGATGATAAAAAAATAAATGACCGATTAAGTATAAATTCTCTAACTTCTGAGAAAAGTCATGCCTAATCCTAGTAATTACTGTGGGAGTTTCAGTAACTCTTGACCATGCTGTCATTTCTTCTAGGCTGTTTGACATTCACAGGTATTCTGTGCAGTACCACTAAGGATATATGTTGTTTTTTTCATATTTTCAGTAATAAACTATTTTGGGCCTGGCAGTGGTGGCCCATACCTTTAATCCCAGCACTTGGGAAGCAGAAGCAGGTGGATCTCTGTGACTTCAAGACCAGCCTGGTATACAGATCAAATTCTAGGACAGGCTCCAAAGCTACACAGAGAAACCCTGTCTTGAAAAACCAAAATAATAATAATAATAATAATAATAATAATAATAATTTTTTTAGAACTATTTTGTAGTGTTTTGTACATAATAATGACTATCTTGTGGATTTTTACCTAATTAAATTTTGGGAACTTGTTTTATTTTAAAGTAAAACTATTTTACAATATATTTTGTTTTAAGCATCTCAGTGGGAGAAGCCAGAAGGATTTCAAGGGAACTTAAAAAAGGTAACTATAACATATTTATGATGTCTTTGCTTTATTCTTTTAAATGATTAGCTTCTGGAGTCCACAAGTTGGGTGGCTGGTCAGTTTTGTGTGCTGGGGATTGATCACAGGGCTTTGTGAATAGCCAGCATTCTGCCCCTGGGCTATACAAATTCTGGCTGCTGTGGCTTTTTGTAGAATTTTGTTAAGCAAATTTATTTCCAAATAAGTAGTTCTATTCAAGCCCCAACTTGGCTTCCTTCTTCCTATAATCCTTCTGTTAGAAGGCTGGGTAGAGATGAAACAAGGATATCTCTGCAAACAAACAAACTATTCAGGATAAATATTACTAGTGACTTGCAGTCATTTCTTGTTTACGTGTCTGTCCAACTGGACAGGATTTCTGGCTTTGAGAGATGAGATATTCTCTGAAAGTTAGTAGTGACTATCAAAAACAAGGCTGTGTTGCCACGATCTTTTCCACCACTCTTGACTCCCAGGTGCCATGAAAAAGAAAGGATAGCCACATTTCCCTTAGTTATTCAGCAGATAGATATTGTCATTATTCTCAGTGTATTTTTTTTCCTCCTATTAGACATCAGCAAAGGCCATTTGGGTAGAGGGTTTAAGTGAAGACGGTTACACCTATTATTATAATACAGAAACAGGAGGTAAGTGTTATCTTTTATTATTTTAACTTAAAATTGTTCCCAAACTGCATATGAGCTAATATCCAGACTTGGAAACTATAATATAATAATAATTTCTGAACCAAGTATATATTATCTCTTATAAGAGATATTAAGAGATTTGTATTTATAAAATGTACTGTACGTCAATGTTATTCCTTTTATGGTTTTTGTTTTGTTTGTTTATTTTTTTTTAATGTGTATGGCTATTTTACCTGCATGGATTTATGTTCACCGTATGTGAACCTGGTACCCAAGGAAGCCAGAAGGCATCAGATTTCCTGGAATTGGAGTTATGGATGGTTTTAAGTCACCATGTGGGTGCTAGACTTGAACCCTGTTACTCTGTGAGAGCAACAAAAATTAACTGTTGATCTGGGCAGTGGACATGTGCACCTTTAATCTCAGCATTCGGAACACAGAAGCAGGTGGATCTCTGAGTTCAAGGCCAGACTGGTCTATAGAGTAAGTTCTAGGACAGATAAGGCTACACAGGGAAACCCTGTCTCAAGGGGGAAAAATGAATTAACTACTGAGCCAGTTCTCTATTTCCACTTAATATGGACATTAACAAATTAAAAAAATTAAATTTAAAAAAAATCTTCAACTCTCTAAAATGACTGAGTCTTATGAGTGATAATAATTTCCCTTCCAAGTGCCTACAGTTATCACCTAGTTCAACTTTTGTTGTGGTGAGGATCAAACTTGAGACCTAATGCATGCTAGCAAGTACCCTCTTGTTGAACTACACCTAGACCTTCACCATTTTCTTTTACGAAAACAAAACTGAGCCATGCAGTGGTGGTGTATGCCTTTGATCCCAGCAGTCGGTAGGCAGAGGCAGGCAGATCTCTGTGAATTTGAGGCCAGCCTGGTCTACAGAGGGAGTTATAGGACAGCCAGAGCTATTACACATAGAAACCCTGTCTTGAAAAACAAACAAAAAACTTGTGTTAGAGGTGTTGTTTAATTAGTAAGAGTATTTGCCTAGCATGCAGTCCTGGGTTCTACCTTACATACATTACATAAATCTGGGTGTGGGGACTAGGAAGGTGACTTGTTGGGTAAAGTGATTGCCGTCCTCATATGGGGGCCTGAGTTCCAATCCCTAGGACCCACATAGAGATGTGGGGAAGCAAGCACCTGTAACCCTAACACTGGGTGAACAGAGATGAACAAATCCCATGGCTTGTTGGGTGGCCAGTCTAGGTTCAGTGAAAGACCCTACCTTCAAAGATAAAGAAATAAGTGGAGAATTATGGGAAGTGTTCCAGTACTAGTCTAGCCTCAGATACATAGGCAAACACACCCCTTGTGTACATGTACACCTACAAGCATATACCATACACTCTTAAAAAAATAAAAAGACATTCCTGTAATCCCATCACTAGGAAGGTGGAGTGAGGAGGAATAGGTTCAAAGGACAGCCTCAGATGTGAGTTGGTATACATGAGACCCTCTCACACAAAGAAGAAAACAGTATGTAAATTTTTAGAAAAATCACAGAATTTCTCATATAACCATCCTTCAGTTAAGTTTTTGGTGTTCCTTTTCTGGCTTTTTGAAGACTAAACCTGGCCTCCAGCTCGATAGGTGGCTCAGTAGGACCTCAAAGTCTTGATCCCGTTGCCTCTATCTCCCAAGGGCTGCAATTACAGGACTCTACCACCACACCTAGTTGGTCTTCAGTGTTTCTTATAAATAATTTCTTGTTTCTCCCAGCATACATCATATGTTCAGGTATATATCCAACTGAAGACTGGAAAGCACTGGGAGGCCCAGAGGGTATTAAAACTTGACCATGCTCATATTGGTACAATGAAGTAAAGTTGCCATTTTGGTAAAGTTCCTTCAAAGAAATACCTTCAGCCAGTACTACTGGTTGTCTATACTTATCAGTCTTCACAGTTAGCTTTCTGCCACCAGCCTGGGTGTTTCCCTGTTTGTATGTTTTTAAATTCTTATTATCCAAAACCCTATATTGCAGTCGGGCATTGGTGGCCTTTAATCCCAGCACTCGTGAGGCAGAGGCAGGAGGATCTCTGTGAGTTCAATGTCAGCCTGTTCTACAGAGCAAGTTCTAGGACATAGGACAGCCTCCAAAGCAATACAGAGAAACCCTGTCTCGAAAAACCAAAAAAAAAAAAAAAAAAAAAAAAAAAAAACCAAAAAACCCTATAAAGAAGAAATGACCTTTAAACCTTCAAACAGATATGTATTCTCTGCCCAGTGAGAGCAGTGTTTCTGTACCATATAAGTATTGAGAGATTATAGAGATCATTCAGCCTATTAATAAATAAGGCTTTATAATTAATGCAAATCTAACTTCAATATACAATTTTTTAGCAGCGAAGTCACTGAACCTGTAGTTATTCTTCAAAAAAAAAGAAATATGTTCTCTGTGGTTGGTAGGAGTTTAATCCTCTCTGCAATTAGTAGCCATTCTTACTCTTGTTTGTTAAGACAGGGTCTTTCTTTGCAGCTCTGGCTGGTCTGGAATTCACCAGGTAGACCTGACAGGCCTTGAATTCACAGAAACCCTCCTGCATCTGTCTCCTAGTCTCCCTCACTCTTAAATTGTCTCAGTTGGGTAACAAATTACATAGTTTTTCTCTCCCCCTTCATAAACTAAAGCAGAGACATTAGAAGTACTTGAATGTATCTTGAAGCCCATTAAACACTAGATGGCAGTGGAGTTCAGCCAATTGCGAGGCCTTCACTATGAAGTTAGTGTCTTCAGTTTATCACTCTATTGTGAGAACTCACGAAAATCTTGGTAATAAATTTCAAGAACTATTTTGTAAAGTCATTCTTAGTATGTTTCTTGAAATTGTTTTCAGGTAAACGAAGATTTTTAAAACTATCACCCACTTCCCAAGTTCCTTCCCATTAGAGTTGGGTTTATGAGTTTAGTAAATGCAGATGGATTGTCCTAAGTTTCCTGAACAATAAAAAAGAGGGTTTTTTGGAGCTCTTTTCTTGATAAAGTGCAGATATGACAAATATGGTGATTTTTAATAATTGTACATGATAAAGACTGTTATATTGCTGAGAAGTACTGCTAAAAATGTAATATGATTATTAAAATGTGTTGAGCAGAATCCAAATGGGAAAAGCCGGATGATTTCATCCCACACACTGGTGATGCGCCTTCTAGTAAGGACAATGAAAAGTCACCTGACACTCCAGAAGAATCCAAGTCGTCAGATTCTCAGAGTGACTCTGATGGCGAACAGAAGAAACCAGCAGAGGCTTCTGCAGAAACTAAGAAACTAATAATCAAGTTTAAGGTAGGTTCTTGCTTTACTTTTCACGACATTTGTCAGACTTATCTTCCATATTTCTGTTACTCTTGACCAATCTGATCTAAAAATAGGAAATGGTATGCCATCTGAATGTCACGATGAAATCCTCTGTTGTAGTAGTTTGCTATTTCCTACTATAGTTAATCTTTTACTGTACCAATTTATGGCTTAAGATTTACCATCATGAGGTATGTGTGGTTGGATACGGTGGTTTTAGGCATCTATCCATTGGAGATCTTGAAATGAATCACTCAAAATAAGGGTGAAGTAAACTGTATTTTGGCATTTGGATAAACTATTATACCATTTATCCTTGAAAGCCTATTTTAGCCACTCTTTTTCTTTTTAAGATAGGGCTTCAGCCTTACCCTCTCGCTGAGGAGTGGATGGGGGTGGGGCAACTGGGATTGGTATGTAAAATAAAAAAGAGAAAGAACAGTTAAGAAGATAAGGCTTGGGACTCATGTAGACCAGTCTTGGCCTCAAAGTGACATCTATCTACCTCTGCCTCAGGAGTGATGGTATTGAAGGCATATGTCGTTCCTCACACCTGACCTTAAATTCTGAAACTTTAAGAAGCTTCAGTAACATTCAGAAGTCTGTGTGGCCGGTGTGCATACTTAGACTAGAAATAGAAGTGCTAATACATAGGAACTGCTTTCTCAGCTTAGGTGATCTAGATTAGGATAGTAACTGTGGACAATAAACATTTATTTAAGTTCACTTGTGGAGGTGTGAGGGTAGATGTGGGGCCCCAGAGGTCCCAGAAGCCAAACATGGAAGACTGCATCAAGAATCAGGTCTGCTGGGCTGGAAAGGTGTTTTGGCTGGTAAAGATGCTTGCTTTAAGACGATGGCCTGAGTCCTAGCTCCAGCACCCCATGATGGAAAGAAGAACTTAAACTCTCCTACATTCATTATCACCTGATCTTTCCTACATTATCACCTGATCTTTCTACCCTAGTCAGACCACACACCCCCACATACATGTATAAATATACTACACAAAACCTGAAATCAGAACAACAAAAACCAACGAAGTTTGGTGTATTTGTTTTAAAAGGGCCATGGGGATGGCTCAGCAGTAAAGGCACTAGGTGGCCTGAGTTCAGTCCTGAGTCCCACATGGGGGGGAGTTGGAAGGAAAGAACTGACTCCCACATGTATCCTGTGACTTTCATGCATATCAACACACAACACACAGACACACACATGCACACTCACTTTCACACGGGCACACAGGCACACACTCATATGCACATACAGATACATTTGAACACGCAGCATACACACACGCTCACACACACTGGAGTGCACATGCACACATACGCTCACTCACACAGTAAAAATGAAATTTTTTTAAAAGTATAATTATTTTCCTGTTTGTTTTTTGAAACAGGGTTTTTCTGTGTAACAGCTCTGGCTGTCCTGAAACTTCCTCTATAGACCAGGCTGGCCTCAAACTCACAGAGATCCTCCTGCCTCTGCCTCACGAGTGCTGGGATTAAAGGCGTGCACCACCACTGTATGGCATAAAGTGTACTTTTTTTTTTTTTAAGTGGAAAAAGAAGGCAAGAAGTATGTCCATTGAAGCTGAGTGCTCATATTTTATCATGGCACTTGAGAGGTAGGCAGGCAGATCTCCGAGTCTGAGGCCAGTTCCAGGATAGCCAGGGATACATGGTGACATCCTCTCCAAAAAAAAGAAAATTGAAGGAACCCTGATGGCTAAGTATTGACTGAGATAAACTTGTAGTAGAGGGAGTCCATAGAAAGGAGAAAACTGTCAGTAGGAACAAAGTGGGTAGATTGGTCTTGAATAAGAAGTAAACTCATTTCCTGTAAGGTTAGCTTTTTGTTTTCTATGAGGAATGTGACTACAAAAAATAGGAAACAAGAAAAAAATGAAAGCATGCCTTTTATTTAACTTTTATTCTTACTATTGTGAACATATGTGATTGGACGTACTTCTAGTCATGTCTTTTATGGTTATTATTACGGTGTATGTTTGTGGTAGAAGTCAGAAAACAAATTTGGAGTCAGTTCTCTCCTTTCACATTCCTATGATGTGATTATTAGGTTTTGTCAACTTGACACAAACTAGATTCACCTGGGAGGGGGGAACTTCAGTTGAGAATATGCCTTCGCCATCATGGCCTGTCAGTGTGGTGTTTTCCTGACTGTTGGTTAATGAGGGCAGGCTCAGCTCCCCATGAGTAGTGCCACCTCTGGATTGGTGGATCTGGGAGTTATAAGCATAGTAGATAAACAAGAGCCTGCAGAGGAGCCAGTAAGTCACTTTCTTCCATGGTCCCTGCCCTGACTTCTGTGACTTCCCTCCGTGGTTAATATTAATTGGGACATGGAAGCCCAAGAAGCCCCCCCTTTTTTTAAACGTATTTATTTATTATGTACACAGTATTTTGCTTGCATGTATGTCTGCATACCAGAAGAGGGTACCATATCTCATTATAGATGGTCGTGAGTCACCATGTGGTTGCTGGGAACTGAACTCGAGACATCTGTGCAAGCAGTGCTCTTAACCTCTAAGCCACCTCTCTAGCCCCCAATAAGCCTTTTCCTCCCCAAGATGTTTTGGTCATGGTGTTTATCAAAGCAAACTAATACATATGGATTCCCAAGCTCAGGCATGAAAGGCATACACCACCATCACCTGGCTAAAACACAATTTTACAGTCTTGTATGTTAAACTGTGACCAAGGAAGACACTTATACCACTGATCATAGCTGAGATGACTGGCCTCAAAAATGTAGGAAATTAAAGATGCTAGAGATACCTTTCCCAAGCCACACCTAAGGACCTGTCTTGCCTGGAATTTTTCTCTCCACTCCATCAAATTTTATGGGATATAGGAGACTTGTATCACATTGTAGAAAGCAGCAACGATGACCCCGTGATAGCCAGCTCACACTGTTCATAGTCAGCATTAGGTAACCTAACTTTCTATCATAATTAATGTATCATTGTAAAAATAATATTACCAGCCTGGTGGTGGTAGTACACGCCTCTAATTCCAACACTTGGAAGGCAGAGGCAGGGGATCTCTGAGTTCAAGACCAGCCTGGTCTACAGAGTGAATTCCAGGACACCCAGGGCTACACAGGGAAACCCTGTCTCAAAAAACCAGAAGGAAAGAACAAAAAAAGAAAGGGTGCTGGGACTAACCCTTGTGCCTTGGACATGATATGCACAGCCTCTAACATGATATGCACAGCCTCTAAATGGAGTTGCTTCTCTACCAGCCAGTATGCATATTATTGTAAACACCGTATGGAGTCAGTGCTGTAATAAAACTTTACTGTTAGCTTTTAATTTAATCTTTCACAAAGACATCAGTAACTCTATCTGCCAAAGCTATGGCTTTGTAATTATCCATAGTATAAATGTATCATATTTAATTAGCCCTATGTAAAAGTTTTTGGATTTTTTTTAAGTAAATGTTCAAAAGACTAGTTGATATAATACTTAGAAGTTAAATGTCTCTACTATAATTTGGGGGAGAGGGTAACTATTGATCTAACTTTAGAGCAGACAAATGGTTATATACAGCTGTGGAAATTTTTCAGTTCTGTACCATAGAAAAGCTAAGCTACAAGCAAACATTTTTAGGGTGCTAGCAAAGGAGAATTCAAAGTGATACTCTATGAATTTAAACTGTAAAAGGATTAAAGTCTAGAAGAGACCAACAGACTCAGAGCACATTAGGACTAGAAATGATATAGAGTCAGATGAGCAGTGTAATAGAAGTAAGGGAGTCACAAAGCCAAAGGAAATAAGGACAAAATATGACTTTCTATTTTAAAATATCATAGTTAAGTCAGAGTTCTGACTTAGTTTGAATAAAAAAAAATGTAAAGATGGTTTTCTGCTTGTTTGGGTTTTTTTATAATTTATTTTTATTTTATATGCATTTGTGTTTTACCTGCATGTGCATCTGTGTGAGGGTATCAGATCTTGTAGTTACAGGCAGTTGTAAGCTGCCATGTGGGTTCTTGGAATTAACCCCAGTCCTCTGGAAAACCAGTCAGTGCTTTTTACTGCTGAGCCATCTCTGTTTGTTCTAAGACAAGGTCTCCAGCCAAGTCTGGCCTTGAACTTCTGATCTTCTTGCCTTCACCTCCTAAATGATAGAATTACCACAATATACCACACTGTCCAATTTATGCTGTGTTTGGAATTGAACCCAGGGCCTTCTACATAACAGTCAAGCAGTCCACTGTCTGAGCTATATGCCCAGGCCAGAATTTAACATTTGAATAGTAGGTGGCTGGAACACAGTAAAGGTTACGATCACTGACCTTCATTTTGGAGCTAAAAAAAGTTATGAAAGGATTTGTTATGAAAATCGTGTTTGGGGATGTGGTAGCATGTGCCTTCAACCCCAGTGCAGAAGCAGGCAGATCTCTTTGAGTTTGAGGCCAGCTCATCGACATAGGGAACTCCAGGACAGCCAGGGCAACACATTGAGACTCTAGAAAGGAGTAAGAAAATTATATTGCTGAGCATGGTGACAAATTCTGTTGATCTTAGTATTTGGAATGGAAAAATTAGATTTTAGTACTATGATGGGAAAAGTAGAGGTTCAGGCCCAGCCTGGGCTACATAGGAGATGAGTTAAGAGCCATTTGTAGAATACAAAAGAAATTCTAAGCAAGCTACCCATGGATGTGTAATATGCAAAAAGGTGAAAACCCAGTACATGTGTGGTGTGTACACGAAAGTGGGAAAGTGGGTAAGGGCTTTCTTAGCCCAGTGTAGATAAGTCACAAGGAAGCAGCCAGGACTTCTGTAGGGACTGCTTCTGCCCCAAGAGGGAGTTATCCTAACCCTGCCCTCCCATCCCTAGACAGGTTCTCTGTGCAGTCCTGGCAGTCCTAGAACTTGCTCTGTAGACCAGGCATTTATTATAATAATATTATTATATATATAGAATAATATATATATATATATATTATTGTGTTATGTGAAAATTTATACCATTAAGTAAATGGTTGTTATTATTATTAAGACTTTTTAAAGAAATTAAGTTTGGGGGTTGACTGTAGCGGTTTTGCTTGAAGTGTGTTGTGTATTGGCCTTTGTATTTCAGGAAAAAAATAAAAGTACTGAGAAAAGAACTGACCCAGAAATACAAAAAGAAAAAAGTACCCCAAAACAGAATCCATCAACCACAAACGAAGAAAAACCCAAACCTCTTAAGAAATTGACGAACCCTTATGGAGAATGGCAAGAAATTAAACAAGAGGCGGAGTCTCAGTAAGTACCTGAGAGGCCATCCCATCCCCCTGCTGTGTCCAAGCACCTCAGCACACTATAGTCAAGAATCTCAAGTGTGCTGTGCTCCTAAGAAGTAGAGCTTTTCCTTACATTTCTAGAATAGTTTCAGTTTTAAAAGATGAAACATTGTTTTTTTTTTTTTAAAAAAACAAGTTAGTGATTGTTTTGTTTTCTACCAAAGCATGACATTTCTAATGACCACACACACTCATCATCATTTTTTATCAAAAGAACAAATACTTGCAATAAGTACTTTTCAATGTGCTTTAACATAGAATGCAAAGAAAATGCTTTTGCTATCTTACTGTCTTGCAGTGTCTCACTATACTTCAAAGTTTTGTTATTATGTGCATGTAGATTTTATTCTGGTTGGTTGGTCAGTTGGTTTGATTTGGGTTTTTTTTTTTTTTTTTTTTTTTTGAGTCTTGTGTAGCCTTTGCTAGCCTTGAAGTCCTAATCTGACCCCACCTCATGGGTGCTAGTACTGAATCTGGCTCTACCCTTCAAAGTTGTTAAGGTGTATGGGTAAAGCAGATATTCTTTAAAACACTGCTTTGAGGGGTTGGAAAGATAGTGCGGTGGTTGAGAGCACTGGCCACTCTTCAGAGGACCTGGGTTCAGTTCCCAGCACCCACATAGCAGCTCACAACTAACTACCTGTAACTCCATTTTCAGTCAATCTGACACCTTCACACTTACATACATGCAGGCAGAACATGAAAGCATGTGAGATAAAAGTAAATTATTAAAAAATAAAACCATGCTCTGAAAAGTTAATGTAGGATAAATGCTTTTTATGTATTTTCATAGTGAATTATTTATTGTTAAAATTCTTGGCTGAGGGTGTACACCTATAACAGCACCACTTGGGAGACCAAGACAGTATTTACTTCAAAAGCATGAACTACAGAGTAAGCATCTTATTATTGCTGGAGTTTTCTTGTCCCGCCAGGTCCTGCCGCCCTTCTCAGCTCCAAATAAACACACAAATGCTATATTATTTATAAAATTGTTGGCCAGTGACTAGGACTTCTTATTGGCTAACTCTGTCTTACTTATTAATCCATTTCTATTAATCTAAGTATTTCCCCATGGTCTTATCTTACCGGAGAAGGGCCCGGACCTGTTACTCCTTTGTGGTCTACATGATGTCTCCCTGCGGTCCCTTTCTACATAACTTTCCCAGAATTCTCATCTCCTAGCCCTGCCTATCTTCCTGCCTCTACTGGCCAAACAGTGTTTTATTCATCAACCAATAAGGAAAACATATACAGAAGGACATCCCCCATCATCTTATCTCAAAAAGCTATCAAAACCCAAACTAAACCTGCTTTTTAATAAAAGGGCTGTACTTTTTTCATAGTAGAATAATGCAAGTTATAGGCAACTCTTTATGCCAGACTTTATTCCCCAATTATGAAAAGGACATTGATGACTATCCATAGGAGATAGCAGAGTAATAGATCAGTCCATTCTCTTCGGTTCTGGCCACTTAAAACAGGAAGTTGGTTTTGCATCCACTTATGTGTGAGAAAGGATTTGGGGTGGACAAAAGGACAACTGGTACATGAACAAGGGAAAGCGACTGGGAAGAGAGGTTACAAAGGGAAGTTGGGGTAGCAGGAGCATGAGGGAGATGAGGAAAGGAGGTCTACTAAAGCACACTTTGTTCAAAATGTTATGATGTCTATACCTTGTATGTTGAGTTAACATTTTTTAATAAAAAGTAGGAAAACTGTCCTATGTCAAAATCTCATATTTCAAAATGATAGAACTTTGTAATGCTAGTTAAATTTCAGGCTAGTTGGGCTGTAGCAAGCTTTCTTGTCAGACTATACTTATACTGCCAGCCTGCAGATAATGACCCAGAGACTTATTATTAATTATAAAAGCTTGGGCTTAGCTTAGGCTTTTTCCCAATTAGATCTTATAACTTAATTAACCCATAGTTTTTAAATCTACATTCTGTCATGTGGCTTGGTTACTTTGCTTAATATGGCACATCAGACTTACTCTGAGTTTGCTGGCAAAATCACATGCCTAGATTCCTCCTCCCAGTTTCTCTCTCTCTCTGTCCAGAAGTCCTACCTATTCTCTCCTGCCCAGTCATTGGCTATTTATCTCTTTCTTAAACAAATCAGAAGGTGTCTCAGGCAGAGACTCATCTTTACAGTGTAAAAAAATACTCTGCAACACTAGGCAGCTTAATATGTAATGGATTGTTTCCAACTTCATATGTAGATTAATCTAGTTTGCTTGCTTGTTTGTTTATTCAATTAGATTCTTCAAGACAGGGCTTCTCTGTAGATCAGACTGGCTTCAGACTCACTAACCTAGTTTAAAGTAAATTAAATTTAAATTTTAAAACAATCCTGATTAACTTTTACCATGGACCAGTTCTTACCACCAAGCTCATCACGAGAAATTCTGAATGAACATAACCTGGATTCAGTGGTTTCTGAAAGGAAAGCCTAATGAAACAAATGCTGATGCTGATCTGGAAAGAAGAGAAAGAGGGTGTTAGAGCAGAGCCAGAGTACAATGAGAGCATTTCTACCCAAGCTCCTCATGCCACTGCATGTATAGAAGACAGCAAGTATAGCTATCCTGAAAAACATAAAAGCTTTTATTTATTTAAAGATCCCTTAAGTTGTTGCAGGTACTTACTGCTCTTGCACAGGACCTGGGTTTGGTTCCCAACATCTACATGATAACTAACAACCAACTGTAACTCTAGTTCCAGAGGATCTGACGCCTTCATCTGGCCTTTGTGGACATTTCACACATGTGTTATACAGACATACATGTAGGCAAAATGTCTATCACACATAAAAGTAAATCTAAAGGGGATGCTCTGGGATACATATTTTCAAAACAGAGTCTTCATCCCATCTCTTTTCTGTTTGCCTGCTTTATCCTCTGTCTACTGAATTCCTCTCTAGAAAGGATGTTTGTTTCCCAGCAGGCTTTGTAGTCTCGGGCACTGAATATGATAATTTTCCTGCTCTGCATTCAGAAACCTCATGGGTGGATTTGATGAACTAACTCTTTGAGAGACTAGTCTAGTGCACTGATTTTCAATCTGTGGGCCATAACCTCTTGGGGGGGGGTCACATGATCCTTTCACAGGTTCTTAAAACCATTGGAAAACACAGATATTTATATTAAGATTCATAACAATAGCAAAATTACAGCTGTGACGTAGCAACAAAAGTAATTTTATGATGGGGGGGTCACCACAAGATAAGGAAGTGTATTAAAGGGTTGCAGCATTAAGAAAGTTGAGACCCACTGGTCTAGGGGATATGGGACTGATTTCTGATCCAGCCAGACTGTTTATGACTAACCACATAGTTCTCAGAATAAAAAGATGCTAGGCAAATACTTCACTGAGTCTTCCACAATAGGGCATTAAGACTCCATTCTTTCCATCTTGTGTTATGTAAACCTTCAGAATTTCTGTCAGTCCATGACAAATCAGTCTCCATAGCTTCCCTATTACCTGTTTATGCTGCATGTCATATATGAGCAGAGTATTTTCTAAGATGCTGTGTCCTTTGTGCATCGGAGACCTGTCCTAGCACGTGTCCACCTTAGTCAAAGATGAGTGTGTTGAGACTAAAATCAGTATTTTAAATCGCCTAGAGCTGGGCAGTGCACACCTAACCCAGGTCAGAGGCTCAGTGACATTAGAGTACAAGGTTAGCCAGGACCACATGAGACCCTGTCTCAAAAAAGCCAAAACAGGAACAGCGTAGTATTCCTGATGACCCACTTCTTATCCCCTCATCATTACCATTGGGAGGGGCTCGTGGTACTTTGCTGGCTTGTGGTTTAGATGCAAATATTTACCTTAATCTATCGGGTTATAGTTTAGTTTTTGTTTTGTTTTGTTTTTCTGTTCCAGGGGAGAGGTTGACTTGGAACTTCCAAGCACTGAAAGCGACTATCTGTCAACACCAGAAGCTGCTGCTGGAGAAATCAAAGTGGTATTTAGAGAAAAAACTGTGTCTTCTCTGGGAGTGGCAGCAGATGGGCTGGCTCCAGTCTTCAAAAAGAGAAAAATTGAAAATGGGAGGTCTCGGAATTTAAGACAGCGAGGTGATGATGATTGACTGGGAACCCTTTCCTTTGACTGCTTTGGACAGAGGGGACATGCCCTTTCCAAGCTTCTCTGTGTATTGAGTACTATAGTGCTGCAGTTTACATTTATGCTAAATGTATTTTATGTAAATCAAAATAAATCTTTTTTCATGTGAAATTTATTTTTGTTCCTCAAATGGAAGCCTACCACATTGTATTGTAATACAGTGTATTATGTTCATTATCTAAAATTGCTAATTATATTATAATTTAAGATGCTATGTATCTGTTGTTTAAAACATGGGGAAGACCTTTACTCTGTTCATACTCATATGAGCATACTTGTCCTGCTCTGAAAATGCATTATTTCCACACACTGAAATTATCCTGTTACCTGAGAAATAAGAATCAGACACAAAGTGCACAGCCCTATGACAGTTTGGTTTTGATGGTCCTTTCTTAAGCCTGGATATTAGAAAGTACGCATATCAGCTGGTCTTATGCAAGTTCAAACCAAAGACCAGAGCAGGAACCGCTTGGGCACTAAGTGCAGAGTGACAGCTGGCCCAGGGGTAGAAACCAGCACTTGTCCCAGGTCAGCTTATAGCAGCAATGTGAAAATGGTTAACTTGGGGCCAAGCATCAGGGAACGAGAGCTAGGAGTGCATCATCTGCTCTTCACGTTCTACAACAGTCCTTTCCCAGACAGGCCTCCTTTTCATAGCCCCGGATCCCATGGACGGTTCGCCTAAGGTAATGGGAACAAAAGGCTTGAACTAAAATAGATTTCATGGTTCACTTAGATGTTTCCCAGTTTCTGGTTACATTTCTTAAATAGAAATTTCATATTCTACTTAAAATACCTCCCTTTATTACTTTTGCATATTTTTAATTATATTTTTCATAAGTTGTACAATATGTAACTTTAGGTAGTAAATATTTGTCTTTACAATTGCTAGTGTACATGTAAGAATAGCTTATTAAAAACCATAAAATAAATATTGGGGTTCTTTTTTTCTAATATGGATCAAAGTTGCCTTATCATTGGCAAAATAGTATTTGGAGATAATCTTTACAATTATTTGGGCCTAAACTTTGCATTTTGAAGCACTTTTAATTTTGTTTTGTAAAAAAGAGTCTTGGTGTGTTGCCTAGGCTGACCTTAAATCCAGGTCCTCAGACCTAAGAATCCTCAAAAGTCCTGAAATTAACCAGTGTATCACCACACCTGGATGTTGGATACTGAAGTTTTATTGTTGTTCGACTGGGGTGGCCAAGGGTTTGGGTCAGGGTCTCCCTATATATCTCAGGCTGCCTTCAAACTTGCAGTCACCCTCCTGTCTAAACCTCAGTACTGGGGTTGCAGACATGAGCCAACAGACCCCTGGTTTACTGGGTTTGGGGGATTTGGTTTTTTGGGAGTTATGGTTTGGTTTAAGTTTTGTTCTTGTTTTTTGAGACTCTCCTGTCTCCCAGGCTAGCCTGGAACTTCCTTGGTAGCTTGGCAGGAGGTGACCTTTTGAACTTAGGATCCTCCTATTTTCCCATGCCCCAGAGTTGGGATTATAGATATGTATGCTACCCCTCCTGGCTTATATGGTGCAGGATTGTGTTGGGCAAGCACCCACTACTGTGTAAACCAGTATGGTAATGCATGCCTATAATCTTTGCACATGGGTGGTGGAGACAGGTAGATCACAATGTCAAGGTCCTCTTGGCTTTATGGTAAGCTTAGGGTTGTCTGGGTTACATGAGAGTGTCTCAAGACAGACAAATGAACAGAAAACAATAACAAAACTCTCAAACAACTTGGTTGAAAATGCAACCACCTTGGTGGGTGTTTATAAAGCAGTTTGTAGGAACTCCAACAGATTGGGCAGTGGAGATCCTGTGCTCTTCACCCCCAGGTTTCTGTTGACTAGAACAGACTTGGTTTCCCCTGAAAGTCTCTGTCCTCATAAGAGGTGGAGAAATAGAGAATGTGCAATTGTGATTTGTAAGGACATCATCCTATCACTGGAAATCCTGTGTGTTTGGTGACCTGACAGCATCTGGGATCACAAGCCAGCAGGAGCTTCACAAACTTTTCAGAGACCTCCACAAGCATGAAGCTTGGCTCTTGGGAAAAGAATTTCAGGATGTGTCAGTAGAAAGCAGACTTGTAGGCCCTTAGAAAAAAAAATTTTTTTTGGTTTGGGTGCCTGTCCTGGAATTCCCTCTTAGATGAGGCCTGCCTGCCTCTGCCTCCCAAGTGCTGGGATTAAAGTCAAGTACCACCACCGCTCAGCTTTTAGGCAGATACTTTAACACAGATTAGAGCATGGAGGTTAACAGAAAGAGGAGCACTCATGGAAAGAATGAGGCATAAGCAAGCGTAGTATACCCTCCTATGCTTTAGTGTATTAGCGGGCACCTATATGATTTTGGTTGCATCTCAAAGGACTGCTGAAAAGTTCTTCCTCTTTTCTACTTTTTTGATGCATGAGATTATAGGATCCTTCTGAGGTGCTGGGGAAGAGGAGTGCAATGTGATAATTTAAGATTTAAATTAGAACAAAACAATGACATTTTTGTGAACTTCTTGTTTCTTTTAACTTTGTTTTGGTTATTTTTTGTCTTACTGGTCTTTTGCTTGTTGTGATTTTAATTTTTGTGGGTTTTTGTTTAGACAAGTCCTGGCTATGTAGCCTAGGCTGGCCTGGTACTTGCTATGTAGACGAGGCTAGCCTGTAGTTCATGATCCTCCTGTCTCTACATCTAGAATTCTGGGATTACAGGAGTGTGCCACCACCAAAAGCAACACTGACCCCATACTACTCTTTCTTCACTTGTTTGCACAGTCAAGGGCTCTTTATCAAAATGAGCTGTGTGTTTAAAGACATGCATGAATGTCATAGAGAAATACAACTATACAATGTATAGATCATTGTTGACAGGAAAATTAATTATTTAAAACATTCCTTTGTAGCTATCCTGAAGTTTTCCTAAACACTCAAGAAATGACATTAGGTGGATAATGTGAACCATGATGGTGCTAGGCTCATCCCTGTTGTGATAAAGTGACCAAAAGCAGGTTAGGGGAGGAAATGGTTAAATCTAAGCTCCTAGGTTCTAGGCCATCACTGAGGGAAGTCATGGCAGGAACCCAAGCACAAACTTGAAACACAAACTGTGGAGGAACACTGCTTCCTGCCTCCCTCTGGCTCACGCTTAGCTATTGTGGTGGTTTGAAAGAGGAACATGCCATAGGCTCATGGATTTGAACACTTGCTCCTCCAGTTGATGTCAGGGGAGGTTATGGAACCCTCGGGAAGTGGAGCCTTGCTGGAGGATGTGTGTCGTCATGGACAGGCTTTCAGAGTGTGGAGCCCTACATTTCCAGCTCTCGATCTCTGCTTTATGGGAAGGTGTGATCTCTTAGCTTACTGCTCCAGCTACCACCCCCATTTCTCCCCTAAGTCACTTTGGTCATGTGTTATTTCATCACAGCAACAAAAGTAATACGGCCAGCTTTCTCATACTTCAGGACCTCCTGCCCAGGGAATGGCACTGTCACCAGGGGGCGGTGTCCACAGCCCAGTCTCATTTAAGCAATCCTTTAATTGAGACTCCCTTCTCAGGAGGCTCTAGGCTGTGACAAGTTGACGGGAAAAGCTAACTAGGACAAGGATTAAACTGAATCCCGGTATAAACTATGACATAACTGCAGCACAGCAGCTGGGCAACAAATTAAATTTTGAAGACTACTGTATCTAATGAATTGAGCTTCCATGGGGTGGTGGCTGGGGGCAAGTAGATGAAGTTCACACAGCTCTACAAAAACAAGCACAGAAAATTCTGGAAAGTTGTTAAATAGTCTAGTGTGCTCTAGGAAATTAATCTATGATCCAGCCTCTTCTATTTTCTTAAGAGAAGCAACATTTTAAAATTATGTCCAGATTTTTAATTTCATCTTGTGACAGCGTGTCACATATAGTCAGTCCTGGTTTAGCCTGGAACTACTTAGACCAGGATAGCCCTGAACTCATAAAGCTCTGCCTATGTCTGTCTCTGGTGTTGCAGGGATCTGGAATATCTGCTCCAACACCAATGAGGGTGGGAGAGATGTCACCAGTGGACCAAAGCCAAGATAGTTCTCGGAAGGCCTCCATCTTGAGTCCAGTTTGCGTTTAATATTCTAAAGCCACAAGGTGGGGCCAGTGATCTGACAAACAGAAACTTAAGAGCCAGTTTTTGTTGTTGTTTTTGGGGGGTGGCTTTTGGCTTTCAAAGACTTACATAACAGTTGGCAGGTGTAAGCTTTTGTGATCAGGTTGCTAAGAGCAACAATCTATTGTTTGAGCTATTTCTCTACACAGGTAGAGAGTGGTCATGTTTGGCAATAGGCAGGACAAGCAGGACTTTGAGTGAGTCACTAAATAAATCAGTAAGTAAATCGCTGTTTAATAATTGGTCTTTGTTTTTTTTTTTTTTTTCTTTTCCTATTCTACCTCACTGGAATTCAAGGCATGCACCACCATGCCCAGCCTCCATGTTCTTTAAAATCAACATTTTACAGAGTTTAGTGACACACCTCCTTGTCTCCTAGCCCCGCTTATCTTGCTTTTCTATTGGCCAACAGTGCCAACAGTGCTTTATTCATTAGCCAATAAGAGAGAAACATATTTACAGAATGACATCTCCCATCAAAGGTGTCAGCTCCCCTAGAACTGGAGATATAAATGGTTGTGAGCTGCCAAGTGGGTGCTGGGAATTGAACCTGAAGAGCAACCCATGCTCTTAACCGCTAAGCCATCTCTCCAGCCCCCACAGAGAGTACTCTTAACCACCAAGACAGCTCTCTTTTTGAGGGTTTTTTTTTTTTGGGGGGGGGGAGGGTTTTGGAGGCGGGGTCTCTCTATATAGACTCCACCCTTGGAACTTGTTATGTAGATCAGGCTGTCCTCACAGAGATCTATCTGTCTCTGCTTCCTGAGTGTTGGGATTAAAGGCATCTGCCACCATACCTGGCAGCCCTTTTCTTAGTTTGTATTTATTCTTCTTGTTGTATCAAAACATTCTCATTACTCAACTGAAGGCCCTTTTTATAATTTCTTACGCATTTAGCACACTAGCTAAAATTAATATTAACATTTGTTAGAATAATGAAGTATTGAAGGGAGAATTCCTGCTTTGAGTAATCTGACTTCAGGTCTGATGAGCTATCAAAGTGTTACGGCACACCTGAGGTAATAAATTAGGAATATGGGCCTTTTTTTTTTTTTTTTTTTTTTGAGGAATGAATATATTTCCTCAGATTCTCAACAAGACATAGACACAAAAATATTCTGGGTATGGTGTCCCAGGTCATCCTGGTGTACAAAGGGGGTTCCAGGCCAGCCAGGGTGAGAGTGAGGATGTCTCAAAAATAAATAACATTGTGTTCATTTAAAATAATAAGACAAACTGTAACTTAATTTCAATAGACAAGTTAATAGCTAAATTTAGTTATGGTTTTGAGTGTGAAATGTGCCCCATAAACACCAGTGTTTGGCTGGGTGGTGGTAGTTCTTTCCTTTAATCCCAGCACTTGGGAGGCACAGGTAGGCAGATATCAGTGAGTTCAAGACCAGCTTGATCTACCGAGTGAGTTCCAGGACTGTTACACAGAGAAACCCTATCTGGGGCGGGGGGACACACACGACAGACGACACACAAATACATACATACATACATATAACACAACTTCTGTGTCTGAATATGTGCTTTCCAGCTGGTGATGCTATTGATTGTTGGGCCCTGGAACCTTTTCAATGGGAGGCTGGCTGGCAGCCAGAAGGCTAGAGTCACAGAGGGTTACAGGCAGATCCACTTCGGGTGGACCCGAGCTGTTTCCTGATCTGCAGAGATGAAAAACAGGGGGCCCTATACTCCCATTGCCACAGAAGTTGATATCCTGGCCATGCCTTCCCTTCTATGCACCAAGAGCCAGAGTAAAGCCCTCTTCACTTAAATTGCTTCTGAAGTCCATGTCTTGCCACATGGAGAGAGAGAAAAGTAACTAATATATAGTCTCTATTTCATCCTTTGGAACCTTTGTCCCACCCTTTATTTGGAAAAAAAAAAAAAGTTTTTAAATGTGTATGGTGTTTTGCCTCTATGTATTGATGGTACATTACCTGAGGCAGCCAAAGGAAGTCCCTGGGACTGGAGTTAAAGATGGTGGCCAGATGTTATGTGGGTGCTGGAACCCAAACCCAAGGCTTCTCTAAGAGCAGTCAGTGCTCTTAACTGCTGTGTGTCTCTCCAGCCCCCAGGGGGAATAAATTAACTGTAATTTGAGTTGAGCTTCTAACTACAAGCATAGAGATACAAGATAATTGTTTAGTATTTTATGTGTAAGTCAACATGTATGTATATACGTGCATCATGTGTGTAGTGTCCTTGAAGGCCAGAAGGGTATCAGATCCCTAGAAAATGGAGTTAGCAGCAGTTTTACCCTTCATGAGTGCTAGAACTGATCCCAGGTGTTATGCAAGAGCTCTTAATCACTGAGCCATCTTTCCAGCCCTCAGCTCATTCTAAATCTTACAAGATATGCTCATTAACTGGAAAATGAGGACAAGGGGACTTTCTTGTCAAAAAGATATCAACCCTGGTAGCTGTGTCACACTATAACCAAGGGTTTTACACAGTAAGTAGAACCACTGAATTAAAGTTTTAGTATATTTTATTGATGGTGAACTAGTTACAAGTATTAACATACAACCTACTACATTAATTGGTAATTAACCAGATATTGTAACTCATCTACAAAACAAAACTCCCTGTACCAGGACTTTTCTTTTGGGCTACCAACCAGCTCCCAAATCATGGCACAGAGACTTAGAAGTGTTAAATACTCAGCCTAACCTAGGCATGTTTCTGGCTAGCTCTTTTAACATAAAGTAACCAGTTTCTTTTTATCTACCTTTTGCCTTGGGGCTTATTACCGGTCTTCTTTATTTCTTACTTTCACTGGCTGGCTGTCATCCACCTGGCTTCTGGCCCCAGGAGTGTCCCACATGGCATCCTCACATTCTTCTTTTCCTCTCTCAAGTCTAGATGTCTCCTCCTATTCATTCTCTCTGCCTGGCAGCCCCACCCACCCCTCTCCTGCCTAGCTACTGGCTGTTCAGCCTCTGTTTAGACCAATCAGATGCCTTAGGCAGGCAAGGTGAAACAGATGCAACACATCTTTACAAAATTAAATACACATCATTACGTTGTTAAACAAATGCAGCATAAACAAAAGTAACACACTTTTACACAGTTAAAGTAATATCCTGCAGCATAAAGAAATGTAAAACATCTTTGCCTAGTTAGAATATTTCACAACAACTCTCTAATTCACAAATGTATAAATGCATGGGAAAGTGGCCATTAAATAGCACCATTGGGAATGAGCCTTCTGTTAAGAGCAGGGTTTATGCACACCACATGAAATGAAATGTAGAGATTGATAGGCAACCAATGCACATTATACCTCTTGAGAAAACATACTAGTATACTGTAGGGGGTAAGAATTTTATTTCACTAAAAGTGATGTTAAAAGGTTTTTTAATTCTTTTGTGTTTCCCTCTTTCCCTGTTCACTGTATGAGCTTTAGCCACAGCTCTAGTTCCTCATCTGGAGCACATTCCTCTGTCTTCTGTCAGGGCATAAAAAACATGAGCATTCTGTCACTGGATAATAAACACTGATGAGTGAGAAAGTTACAGAATGCAGAAAAAGTAATGCTGAATATAGGGCTGAATCTGTGAGAGCTCAGTTGGTAAAGCACATACACAAATACCATAACACATCACAAGTACTTTAGAGAAACATTTTCACTACTGGCCTCAAAAACCCCATTACATTCATTAAATGCCAACTTTTAAGTATTTCCAAGCTTATAATTAAAACTGTTTTTTAAAAAAGGAAAGAGGAAGGAAGGGAGGAAAAGAAGGAAGGAGGAAGGCAGGAGAAGGAGACTGTGCATAGGCGCATAGGCCTATAATCTAATCTGAATACACTGGGAGGCAAGGACAAGAGGATCTTAAATTTAAAAGCAGTCTAGGCTACAAAATAAGACCTTGTCTCCAAAAACACAAAACCCCAACAGAAAATGTGAATGCTAAATAATTTGATATAGAGGTTTAAATTTCAAAGTTCCACGTGGGCACTTGATTCCAAAGTTCAGAGCTATAACTGCTAATGTCAACAAAACACTAAATTTAACTTAAAAATGAAAAGAAAACACAATACAGTATTACTTGACAAAACAATAAATACATTTCTTTACTGGAGTAATAACACACACCTATTGTCCCAAACACTTGGGAGGCTAAGGCAAGAAAATCACTCAAACTCAGGAGTTCCAGACTAGCCTGGACAAAATAGCAAGTACCCATCTCAAAACAAGAAACAAAACCCTGGAAACATTACTGCTTGCTGGAGAACAAAAAGTAAGATGAATATCCAAAATACGCAAGCAAAACATTTTGGGGATCATATTACTTTTTCATGAGAAGGCAACAAAATGTACACAATTATATCCAGTGAAAAAAGGAGTGTTCATCTGACTAGTGAAGGATAGCATCAGGTGGAGATAAAAAATTTATATTTTTATATATATATATATACATATATATGTATATATAAAAAGTTAGCAACTTACTTTTTAAAAAATATCATAGGTAATTGGAAACAATATTTGAATATCCTTTTATATAAATACTGATTACTTTTGCAAATACACATTTTATACTCAAAAATCACCTTACAAGCAGGGTTTTCTATTGCTGCTGCTATTTTCACTTTCAATGAGCTTACAGCCATTCTGTACATTATAAACAGTTGGTCAACAAAATATATATATTCCAGAGGGGGGAGTGTGTGCGTGTATATATATATACACGCACACACACATATATATATACACACATACATATATACACATACATACATATATATGACCGATATGTACTTTTTCCTTCAGTAGAGAAACCAAATGCTTACCAAACTGAATTTAAGATAGAAAAACAGTTTATTAAAAATTCATTGTTAGAGCTGGAGAGCTGGCTCAGAGGTTAAGAACCTGCTCTTCCAGAGGTCCTGAGTTCAATTCCCAGCAACCACATGGTAGCTCACAATCATCTACAATGAAATCTGAGGCCTTCTTCTGGTATGTTGGGGCACATGAAGATAGAGCACTTGTACAAAATAAATAAATAAATAAATAAATAACAGTGTAGTTTAACATTGTGGAAATCTACTACATTGTTTTGAACAATATCTTCCAAATCACTATCTAGTAATTGCTACATACGAATTTTTTAATCATAAAAATTTAAATTCAAAACCTACAGTGTTTGTGGTACTTACTAGAAAGAATTTAAAATTGAGATAATATAATGAAACATAAGCACAATATCAAACCCTTTGGATTTGGGGTACAGTAAGTTGTTAAATAATTTGAAGCTAAAATTTTTCACACTGAATTATGTATTTCAAGCATTCATTTTTCTAAACCAAACTTTCAATCACCGCCCTTATGACGTCATGAAGAGGTGGAGGTACCTCTCTCGGGAAGTGCTTGAAAAGTTCCACAGCAGTGTAAACACCAAACATCACTGGTCTTGTGAATTTCATTGATATGTTACCTACAACCCAAAAAGAGGTTGGCGGTACCTCTCTTGGGAAGTGCTTGAAAAGTTCCACAGCAGTGTAAACACCACACATTGCTGGTCTTGTGAATTTCATTAATATGTTACCTACAACCCAAAATCTTCGTCATAAAGAGAACTTGAACTTCCTGAGTGACAGTCCCGCTCACCCAAGCCACCTAAGTCCCAACTGATGCTAGATTGTCTAGGTATTGCTTCTTCTTCAGCCAGGAAATTCTGACCAGCTTCAAGGCAGAAAGGATAAACACCAGCTGAGGCAAAAGAAAGAAAAAATCGGGTCAAACTTTAAGAGGCCTAATGTTGTACCTACATTAATCTACTGGTCTTCCTCCTCTCTCAGTCACACACAGTCACCCTATTCTTTTCCACTGTGGGCTACATGATAAGCAACAATTTTTGGTTATGTCTCTACATCAAAGGAGTATTAATTTGTCTCCATTCTGCACTAAATGGATTAATTATACTTCTTCATGACTGGGATGTCACAAATACAAGAGATCTCATCAGTGAAGACACAGGCTTCCCAAAAGTCACTGAGCTGCAGAGAAAGACACTTCAGCCACTTATTAGGGGCTTAGATTGTAACAGAACAATTGTGTACAGTTGAGAGCAAACCATTGGGTCAAAGGATATAAAGGAATGCAGACGCTGAGCCACTAATGCCCACTGGTTCCTCTGAAAACTGTAGCATTTTCCTTCCATTAATTTAGCTGCAGCAATCTGTCTCAGCTACCCAGAGTGTAAATGTACCCATTCAGAGAAGCCACATCCATGCCCTCCCGACACAGCAAGCGGTCTACCAGTTGATGCCAACTATTTTGGGTTGGTTTATACACCCATAGGTCTTTCCTGGGCTGGGCAGCGAGATAGATGTCATGGTCTGGAGAGACACAGACATCTAAGGTAGTGACAATTCTATCGTAGGCAAGGCAAGTCACAGTTGAAGGCACTTTGCAAATTTCCCCAGAGTAAGGGTCACTGCAGAGAAAGGGATGCTTGTAGTGTCCAAAGATTACTATTCTCTTTGCACACATACTTAATCTATGGGGCGGATTTTCTTCTACAGGGAAGGCAGTGCTGCTGGTGCTCTTATTATTGCTGCTATTACTATTGCAGCAGCAGCTACTGCTACTGCTGCTGTTGCTTGTCACCGGCACCACAGACTTTTGCAATCCATCACCAAGACGCAGCTGCTGGAGGGCCCCTTCAATAACGTCCAGGCAGTACTTCTCCACAATGGGCTTGGTCAGTAGCCCTCCCAGGTAGTCCTGATCTTCAGCAGGGAAATGTGCCCAGCGAACACACTTGAAGACTTCCGCAGCACTGGGGCCCCTCTCTTTGGGAGCAGCCTCCAGCCACTGCACGGCCACGTGACACACCGTCTTCTCACTGTCCACGTTCAGACTGTCCAGGCGCAGGACGGCCAGCAGCTGCGCCAGGGTCAGATCGGCCAGCGTCTCTTCCCGAATGGAACCCATCTTGCTGAGCTGCTTGAAGTTGTGAGCTATGAAGGACTGGGCCTGGGAGCGCAGCTTGTGATGGTCAAAGGCATCGGCAAACTTGAGGATGGCAGTGCAGTTGGTCAGGTCAAGCCTGCGGGCCAGGAAGGAAGCGCAGGCTTCGCGCACGTACTCCAGCTGGAGCATGTCTGAGGCCGCGTACAGGCGCTGCACGTTGGCCTCGCTCAGGGACACGCGCCCCGTGTAGCAGTAGTCGACCAAGACCTCGAAGGACTCGGCATCCACGTCGTGGATGGTCACGCTGGCCTGCTGGCTCTCGTACATGCCGCCCGTGAACATGCTCTTGAAGTAGGGGCACGCCGCCGCCAGCACGTTGCGGTTGCACGAGAAGAGGCGCCCCGTGCCGGGCCCGCTGCCGGGCGTCACCACCTCGATGGTCACATCGCACAGCAGCCGCGCGTCGTAGAAAGACTTGAGCTGGGCCAGCAGGGCTGCAGAGTGGGCCGTGTCCTTTAACTCCTCCGGGCCCGTGAAGAAGGCCGACACCGAGGGCTTGGAGATCCTCTTGGGCCGCCTCCCGCCGCGGGGACTGGCGAGGCGGCGAGAGCGCGGGGCGTCTTCCCGGGACTGCATGGTGGAGATGGCGGCGGGGCGCCGAGGGCGAGAACGGCTGCAGGAGCCCGGCTCCTCCTCACGCCTCCCTCGCCGACGCCGACACAGACACAGCGGCGTCCCAGGACAGACTGCAGCATGCGTCTTACTTAACTCGGTCTCGCGCCGCGGTGCCGCCTCCCTCTGTGGCGTAGCCAGCGGACAGCATCCCCCGCAGAAGAGCAGGATGCGCTGCAAATGCGGCCGAACCAAGCCGAGGATGGAAGCAGACACCAGGGTAATTTACAGGTTGTTTTTCGCGCCACGAGGCATGATGGGAGTTTTCAGGTTCTAGGGAGGAAACTGGAAGCCTGCAGCCGCCTTGCATGTTGGGAGTTGTAGTCCATCTAACGTCGCTAGCCTTGGCTTCTCATTGTTTTCTTGCTGCACCAGAATGTGACAGTATTGGGGGAGGTATTTTAGGGTTCAGAACTTACAGTTTGGGATGCTCCTTTATCCCTCGGTTCTAATATGTCTTTTGTTTTTCTTCTGTAAAACATCAGTTGTTGTGTGTAATGTTTTTTACTCTTCAGACTTTGGGGCTCTTTTTGGGGGCAGCCACCCAACCCCCAGGTAAATCACAAACAGAGGCTTATTCTTGTTTATGAGTGTCCAGCCTTAGCTTGGCTTGTTTCTAGCTTGCTTTTATCTTAAATTGACCCATCTACCTTTTCCCTCCGGGAGTTCATCTTTCTTCAGTACTTTTCTTTCTTACTCCATGGATGACTGGGTGGCTGCCCCTCCCCCCCCCCAGGCCCTCCTCTCCTTGTTCTCTCCTTGCTGCTCCTTTTCATCCTTTTTCCTTGTATTTTTACGTCTGCCTGCCAGCCCCGCCTATTCTTGCTCCTGCCTCGCTATTGGCCAGCCTTCAACTCTTTATTAGACCATCAGGTGTTTCAGACAGGCAAACAACCAGAGCTTTACAGAGTTTAAAAAAAAAAAAAAAATGCAGCATAAACAAAAGTCACACACCTTAAAATAATATTCTACCACAATTAATAATAGTATTTGATAAAATTGAATGACAATTAAATGAACTACATTGAATTGCATATAGAACGCTTAATGGTTGGTTTTACAAAATGATTAATGGAGTATGCAATTTTTGGAATATAAAAAGCCAGAGAGCAGGTCGGTGGTGGCACATGCCTTTAATTCCAGCACTTAGGAGGCAGGGGCAGGAGCATTTCTGTGAGTTCAAGGCCAGCCTGATCTACAGAATGAGTTCCAGGACAACCAGAGCTACACAGAGAAAAACAAAACAAAAAAGGCCAGGGAGTTTTTTGTTTTTGTTTTTGTTTTTGTTTTTAATATTTATTGATTATACCTAATGAATATGAGTACTCTATCTGCATGTACAACTTTATGTCAGAAGAGTAATCAGATTCCACTAAAGATGGTTGTGAGCTGCCATTTGGGAATTTAACTCGAGACCTCTGGAAGAGCAGCCATCTCTCCAGCCCCCAAGAGTTTTAGTTTTTCTTCCAGTATTTTATTAAGAATGAAGAAACACTGGTTTAATATTAATTTACAGAAAAAACACCTTCTAGTTTCCTCAAAAATGTTTCTGGCTTGGTTTGTTCATTTGAATGGATTTTATTTTTAAAACAGTTTTAAGTTTGTAGGAAAACTGAGCAGGAAGTGCAGGAAACTCCCAATACCCATTTCTCAGAGTTTCACCTATTAACAACTCTTAAAGCCCTGCAATTAGTACAAGATTTTTAGAAATGATTAATGACTATTGATGCATTATCATTGAAGTCTATAGTTTATATACAAGTTCACTCTGTATTGAACCAACCTACAGGTTTTGACGAATTCATGAAGTGTATCCACTATTACAGTGTCATACAAAGTGGCTTTACTGACAAAAATCCTTATGTTCTACCTTTTTTATTCCTCTCTCCATCAAACGGTGATGACCACTGCCTCTCGTTCCTGTGTTGGAGGCAGAAGCCAGAATCTACAGCAGGCTACAAAAGTGCCCCATTATGAACTACACCATCAGTCCAACCACCAAACTGTTTTTGCTGCTATTGTCTTGAGAATTATCTAGATCATGATTTATCTCTCTTGAAGATCTGACTAAATTCCATCAGGAGTTGGAACCAAGACATAGTTGCTCTTGATGAAAATGGATGGAGAGGATTGTCACTATTGCCTCTCTCACAGTTGCCATCTCTAAGGAAGCTACCTGCAGTCCCCTGAATTCTGTGTCCATTATCTACATTTCAAAGTCTGAAATCCTCTGGAGCTTCTACGGGCTCTAATTTTTCAGTAGCCCTTTCCTTTTGTACATACCAGAAAGACTTGTTCTAGGGACAATCACACACACACACACACACACACACACACACACACACACACACACACCTGTGGAAATCAGGAGTTTGTTGGGTGTCTTACTTTTAGATCCAGGTGTTAGTGTTTCCCCTGTTTGCTTCTGTGAAGTTGCTGCCATCGGAGGTGACCTAGGTATGAGTAATGCACTAAGCCTTTATTTACCCCATGCATTTCAGACCTTTGAAGTCACCCCTACTTCCCATGGGATCCTACTGTCTTCCACTCCCATTGTAATTCACTATCGCCCCCAACCTGGCTGCTTCTCTTTTCTTTCCTTCCTTCCTTTCCTTCCTTCCTTCCTTCCTTCCTTCCTTCCTTCCTTCCTTCCTTCCTTCCCTATCAAGTTTCAAAATGAACTGCCCTGGGCCATTGAAATGGATCAGTAAGTAAAGCACTTGCTGGGCAAGTCTGAAGATCTGAATTCTACACTCACATGGTAGATGAAGAGAACAGAAAGTCATGCTGTGCTAGGTGAGTGCACACAAAAATAAAATATTAAAAAATAAATAGAAATTACCAACTCGAGAGGGAACTCTGGAGACTCAAACATTTTATTTTCCTATAGGCTCACAATTTCTATTTTGTGGTGCTTCAACTTTTATTAATGGCCCTTGCAAGCAAACTCATTCTCAGCAGGCAGGGGCAGGAATATCTCACATTCAAAAACAGCCTACAGTCTAACTACACAGAGAGTTACAAGTTCTAGTGATTTGAAACAGAGTTGTCACTCTGTATCCCAGGTTGTGAAACTGTACAATCCTCTTGTCTAAGCTTCTATTCTAAAGACAACTGATAAGTTTATCACCATCAAACAGTTTGTAACTCTTACTTCAACATCACCAAAATTTCACCAAAGTGTTAATGTGAACTTTAATGGGGGAATTTTCAGAAAAATACAATCTTACAGATTTTTAACAACCTACCTGAACTTAAATAAGATCATGTGACTAAACATATAGCTCTCAATCTGGTAGTTTCTGACTGAAATACTACACTTCCTAGCTTCTCTTGTGGCCAGGCAAAGCAACTTTGGAAAGTAGGGACTGTAATGTATGTGTGGTAGTCATTTCCACCTCTATGAAGGGTCATAGCCATCTTTTTTCTATAGATACCGTTCATCTATCCATGTAGATGAGAATGTGTCCCCTTGCTATAAATAAACATAGTCCCACCTAATATCAGACGCTCCTCTCTCTCTCTCTTTCTTTCTTTCTTCCTTTCTTTCTTTCCTTTCATTTTCTACCTGTCTGTCTCTTAAGATGCCTCAGAAATGTAACACAGCTAACCTTGCATGCTAACACAAATGAAGAGATTTAATGTTGGCATTGAGGAGATGGCTCATTTGCAGGTGACCTGATTTTAGTTCCCAGCAGCCATTGTAGGTCAGCTCACAACAGCCCGTAACTCCAGCTCCAGGCTGGCCTCATTCATGGTAAGCACTTTACATTCTGAGAAGCACATCATTAGACAGTATTGTCATTGTGCAAACATCAAGTAGTAGACTTCACAGTAGAATAGCTCTTCATGGCCTGCCAGTGACTGGGAGAAACATCGTTATGCAGAACCTGACCAATTTTCACCGTCTTGAATCAGAGCACTCCTCCTTTCATGTAGTGTTCTTCTGCTGCAGACTCTCCACATTATCTTGCATGATGACTTCCACCAGTTGGGAGTGTGAAGGTCTTTGTATCCACAAATCACCAGGGAAACCAGGAATGTTAAGCATGCAGGATTGTCTTTTCAATGGAAATGATGTAAAAACCTGTTCTTCCATCCAGAAATCTGGGAATTGGAGGTGATCTTTGTTATCTTTTGGGCCAGGACATATTCAAGTTCCCACAGCCAGGACCAGAGATATCTAGTAATCTAAATGACCCTTACATCATCTGTATAGCCAGGGGCTTGCCCCAAGCTTCTACAACCAGGACCAGAGATGGCTAACAGCCCCATGACTTCTACACTATCTCTATGACTGAGATCAGGTCACATCCTTCCTTAGGCCCTTAATCTAGTACAGGTAGTCTATCTCCAGAAACCATATTCTCGACAGAAATGACATGTACTTTGAGCTAAGTTTCAATACACTTGTGCTTTTTTTTTGCACAGGGGATTATGAACCAAGAAACTTTTTCCAAATTATACTATGTTTACATAGGCTGACAACAAATTACCTGGCATCAGACTCCCAAAGTTTAATCAAAGTTGATGAAATCAGCCTCAATCAAGTTTTCAATCTCACCTCTTCAATGTTCCCTGCCTGCCATGACACCTCACAAAAGAGTTAGTATTACTTTAAAATTTTTTATTAGATATATTCATTTTATTTTATGTATAACTGAGTAAGAGAGGTTCTAAGAGAATCTAAATAGGAATAACTTTTTATTCCTGGTTAGGAGTAACTTTTTATAAGTCCCTTTCATTGTTGTTGACTATCTATAAATTATTAGTCCTATGGCCCTTACTCATTTCAAATTTAAAAAAAAAAAAAAAATATATATATATATATATATATACACACACACACACACACACATATGTGTGTAAATACATACTTGCACACACATACACACACATACACCAACTCATAGATATCTACCTGTCTCTGTCTTGCAAGTGCTGAGATTAAAGATATGTACCACCATTCCTGGCCCAAAAGTATATTTTAAAAATGATGTCTATTTTTCATTGTTATTCTTTTCTTATGCATACAAAATAATAGACTTGAACTTCCAGG